ACAACTCATTGAGTTTTAACGTACTGTAGCGCCTACAACAGAACCCCACTCTTTTTTCCCAGGCCAGCCCTTGGAATTCTGGCTGGCACTAGATAGGGAGGTCCAGAGACCAGTGGATAGTTTGGAGGGGGTCGAACGACTCTTTAGCAAGACTCCCGGTCCCTCATCTCTATCTGGGAGTTGGAGGAGCATTACCAGGGGATATATCCAGATACAGAGGAGCTCGGTTGGGACGTCGATGATCGAGATTGGGAACATCTCAGCGACGTAGAGAGTTGGGGACAGGACGAGAGACCGTGGAGAGACGTACCAGACGCTAGGCAAGACAACCTCGGCGTCGATTTAGACAGACCAGATAGCGACGGTTGGGGGCATCTAGCTCGGGCCGAGGGACAAGAGCATATCCCCTGGGGCCGGGCTGTGGATGCATGCGGAGACGTAGGCGTGGACGAGAGTATGCCAGAAGTGGTGGACGATGAAGGATAGGGCATAACCGGGCACAGTGTAGAGCGCGGAGTAGAGGGGTGTTGGATGATAGACACAAGGAAATAACCTCAGATGAGGCAGGGATAGCAGTAAGCACTAATAGAGATGGCGGACAGAGACACACTGAGAGTGACCCTTTCCTTGCGGCGAGATAGGATAGGGGGGTGGCAAGAAGAGGCGTTGGACGATGTTGCGCGACAAATCAGACTCATGACGGAGCATGCCCTAGAGATACGGAGAGGCGAGAGGTACGTTGAGTTTACCATCTACTTCCATGGAGCTGATGGGAGAGTGCATAACACCTACTTGACCATATTGAGCCTGAGTGGTAGAGTTGTCTGAGGAGTTAGCAACATTGAGAGATCGTGTGCGTCAAAGGGAGTAGAGTGACACATATCGAGTGGCGAGGGAGAGAGAGGAGTGATTCGAGTTCATGGTAGGCGTATGTCTTATTGGAAGACCACGCTCGGGATCCACATTCCCCTTCCTGCGCGATAGGAGGATAGGATCCATTGGCCTCGTCTCGGGACGGAGTTCAGTGAAAGACGGAGGGATTGCTGCTCCGCCAGTCCCGGACTGGAACTGGGAGCGAAGGAACGAGAGGCCCTACTGTTCAGGACTGAGCCCATAGGTATTGGGCGACTTGAGTTGCTGAGTTAACTTGAGTGATGAGGAGTGACTCGGCAGCTTGGATGACCTATGTTCTCTCACGAGAGTTCGAATCCTATAGCGTAAGGAAACTTGTAAGACCCAGAGAGACGGCTGTTGGATATGATATTCCTCTTCCTGTGAGGTTAGAGGAGACTGACTGTGTTCCGATACGTTACCTTGGAACTCGGCTGGCAGAGGGACTTTTCCTTTGGACGGTGATACTGAAAGATAGACGACCCGAAGGGACTCATGACCTAGAAGGGGTGGGACATCTGATAGCGGACAATGCTCATGATTTAGACGTAGGGCTGACACTGGCAGGGGCTAGCAGGGCTTGGTGGAGAAACGAGTTGCTGGCCAGAGTGATCGTTAATCAGCAATTGGCGAGACTCTCAGGAGGAAGGTCGTACTAGAGTCGCTTGGTATACGGACCTCCGCATCCGACCTTCTATCCGGAAGAGGGTTGGCGATTTGGACTTCCTGCGTTCGTAATAGGGCATACCTACAGGAGCATAGACCGTCTGAGCGTGGCAGTGAACCACACACTTTACGCGCTTTGGGAGGGCTTAGCTCCCCGTTTCAGGGAAGCGTACTATGCCATTTGTGTAAGGTGGGGGCCACCCAGCAGAGAGACGCTTGACGATATCATACACGCTACTTGCTGGGTGGACTGTCTGAGGCCAGTTGATCTGATTAGGTACTGCAGGAGACGAGCGGAGATTGATTACGTGGGGCTAGAGGATGTGAGGTTTCTCTTCGAGGTCGCAGCTTAGGGAATAAATAGGAGGACGCCAACTGTGGTGCGCTTAGATAAGCAACTGGTGAGCACAGGGTACACTGTGACGGTGCTTCTCCGAGCATACATAGATGAGGACTTGACGGTGAGGGAGTGCCGACTACGAGCCAGGGATTTGATCCGCGAGTATAGGGCTGATGTGCTGGCGCAGGTGACCTTCCAGACCTCGATTTCGTATGATGTGGTGATGTGGTCTCATGGCTATATGCGCGCGGAGCACTACCACGATGAGACGGTAGCGGAAGCTAGAGCGAGGGTATGAGGATGAGCTGGAAAGAGATGTGGACAGAGTATGGAAGAGGAGAGTGAGGCGGTCCAAAGAGTGAGAAAGCGCATTAAGGAACCACTCTTGAACCGAGTAAAGGAGTTGGGGAACAAGATAAGGGAGAACGGCTCGTGCCAGGAAGAGGGCAAGTTGCGTAGGGTTGAGCTCGCGACGAGAGAGTTCGAGAGTCTGTTCCGGCAAGATAGAGAGTTAATCTAGGTATGGAGATCGGACTTTCTGGAGAGGGTAAAGGCGAAAAACCTATCACGCGAAGGAGCTAAGGAAAAGTCTGCAGAGGACGTAACAACAGAGGACAAGGTAACGCGGGAGGATAGCAGCAGGGCATGAGCGGGACTGCACTATACACGACGGACAGGTACTCATTGCATGTGGTAGGGAGGCTGGACGGACCGTTGGTGTTAGTAATCGCGGAGCTCCAACTCCATACCAAGCTATGCATAGTTGAGGAGGCAGAGTGCGTTTGCCGTGCACATCAAGAGGCAAGGTGAACAAGACTTTGGATTGGAGTGGAAGGAGGATGAAGGATAAAGTATGTACTACGCACGACACCATTCGGTGGGCGACCTCTGATAAGGGCGTGGTACGAGACGCCCAGAGAGACTAAGAGGTTAAAGATAAGCGAAGCCAGAAGGACTGGGGAGCTAAGGAGAGTGGTAGTAGACGGAGCGATACTCAGGGTGTTAGCTGCTCACAACCGATACTGGAGGGAATCGATAAAGACTTTAGACGCCACAGAGGATAGTGGAGATGAGGGGAATTTTGAGACGTTCTATGAGATATTGGAGTTGTCGGCGATGAGATTATGAGCGGCTATAGCACTGACTTTCCTCAGATGCTAAACAAATGGTCTTGAAGCTGTCTGGGAGTTAGGGGAGGAGAGATAAAGATTGTAAGCTTTTGGAAAGATAGTGGAGGTCAGTGAGGTCAGAGGGGCGGTTTTAGATGGCAGTAGGAGGAGAGTTTCCTCCGTTTGCGGGCTACCCGATTCAGGACGGACTAGATGATCTAGTGAGGAGGACGGAGATAGACGCTCGAGGACTCTTGAGGGGTGCCAGTCAGGAGACATTGGTTAGGTTTGGGACTGCGATCTGCAACAGAAGTAGAGATCCTGTCACAGGTGTAGTGCAGATCAGGAAAGGTGCGACCTTGTTGGCAGATCCCGAAGGAAAGGTTTACATAGACACAGGGATTCTTGGGATAGAAGGTGAGCACGAGGTCCGCGACCGGAACGGAGTACTGGTGGCGGTAATCAGGGCAGTCGAGAGTTAGTATTGAAGATGAGCGCGAACGGTGAAAAGTAAACAGGTCCGGGCTGCGAGTTCTGTCACTGGTCCGGACTGCTGCAACTGTCATAGGTCTGGGCTGTAACGCCTGGCGTAAGTGCCCGACTACAACTTCTGGTAGCCTATGGAAACAGACACGATGGGGCCACAACCGACCACGGGCGAAGCAGGAGAGGAATACAGGACATCGCCCGACCGAGCACTGAGGGATCTGACGGAACGAATTAGGCAGGGAGCACCGTTGAGATGGGCGGACCAAACCAATGACGGAGAACCCGACGTAATGGACGAGTCGGTCGTGACAGGGCCGCAGGAGACTTCGAAGACTGGGACCTCGAGCGCTCGACGAGAAGCGATGACACGACGCTCCCCCAAGTATGAACGGAGGGAAACCAGGGCGGATAGACGCAGAGACGACTGGAGAGAGGGTCCACGAGATTCCTATTGGAGGGACAGAGATAGGGATAGAGCACCGCCCCGGCGTGTCTTCGACCCCCAGACGGGGGAGTCACATCCGCTCCCTTACGAGAGCAAGGATCGCTATATTATTACGCACAAGACCTCTGAACCTCCTACTTTCAGGGGCTATGGTATCACATAATATATGAAGAAGTGGGAGCTTCATGCTAGCCGGAGTCAGTGGTCAGAGGAAGAGATTATACAAAACTTCCTATTCAATGTAGATCCAAGTCTTGGCAAGGAAGTTAAGGAAGCCCGACCGAAGGATGGGAAATGAACTACATATAAGAAGAACCTCATTGAGCTCTACAAATTAGAGGATAACAAGTACTCCATCAAGGACCTTGAGACAATGACTCAAGATGAAGATGAGAGCGTACGGGCATTTAGGAAGCGTTTCTAGAAGATCTCTAACGTGATGGTGAAGAAGGGGAAAATCTTAGAGGTCGAGCGTTGTACTATCTTCATCGGACACCTGTTCAAAGGCAGACCAAAGAGTATACTTAGAGATCTCCAGCGCGACAAGCTTGACTTCGCTGAAGTCCTAAAGCTCGCGATAAAGGCAGAGGCAAACGACTACAATGACTTGGTATGGAGAGGAATGAGGAGGCGTGACTTCTCTCTCTATAAGGAGTATGCCACTGATAGATGTCCTGATTTCAAGGACTATCCCTAGTCGGAAAAGAATGAAGCGGTGACCGAGGAAGTGAAGGAGATAAGGGACATGGTCAAGGGATTGACAAGACATGTTACAAAAATTGTGACCACCATAGGAGCCACGACTTACCGGGACAAACCTGGAGGGCTCTATTCACTTCGCTGGGACCGTAGGAACACCGATTTCTGGAGGAGTGTCGAGGATATGAATCCTCGAACCCTAACTGATTATCGTGCGATGAAAAGGGAGAGAGACGATGAGCCATGGCGACGAAGGGATGATGAGATAGACCGGGACCGCAGGACTCACGAGACATATGGACGAGCTAGGAGACTGGATGATTACTCGCGTAGCCCTCGTTATGAGGCTGATGGGGGTAGAGGCGACTCTCGCGGCCGGTGGGAGTCAGATCAGGGCCGGCAAGACGGATACAAGGATGGCAGATATGAGAGATTAGACCGAGATGGATATAGGGACGACATATATGAGAGGTCGGATCCAGATGGATACAGGGGTGGCAGATATGAAAGAGGAGATCGAGACGGAGAATGACGAGATGGCTCGCGTGGACGATATGACCGCGGGGGATTCGCGAGAGAACAACGGGACGATTCGCGGGGGTGGTACGACCGAGGAGATCGCCGCGATGAGTCACGCGGGCGATACGACCATGGAGACCGCCGGAATGACTCACGGGGACGATATGAGCAAGAAGGATCCGGAGGAGACCGCCGCAATGATTCGCGCGGCCGGAATGAGAGAGGGGGATATGATGCGCCATCTGATCCGTATCCAAAATTCGTTGACCCCAGAGCAGCGAGGGGTTCGATCTCGAGGAGTGCAGACGATAGGCCATCCACTCCTAGGAACTCTTGCGTCTACTGTAGAGGAGATGATCATATCAAGAGAGACTGTCCGGATCTCAAACGGGCAATAGATGAGGGACTTGTCGTGCTTGATGACTGCAAGTACGTCAAGTGGGCAGATGATCTGGGAGACGTATCAATGTTCCCTTCGATGAAGGAGAATGTGGAAGTAAGGAGAGTAAAGCCGAATAAAGGAAAGGAGCCGGTTAGGAGCAAGAGCATCAAGATAACTTTCGAAGGAGATATGGCAACTACACCCATAAGGGTGGCAGCTACCAAGTCAGCGAGAAGCTCTACATCGAGGAAGACTGACACGGATTATGTGATGGCAGAAAAGGATGGACAGCGGATCGACGGAGAGGAGGTTATTCTTTCACCGCGAAAATGGGGAGTGAAGAAGTTCTTGATGAAGAGTTCGTTGGATGATATAGACACGGTCAAACCCATGAGACGGGCCCGTCGGCAGCCCATGCAGTGCTCTATTCTGGAATATCTGGCAGCATCCAAGCCGGCTCACGACGAGTTACAAGTGATCACGCGGAAGACTCGCATACCTTTATCAGAGGACGCTTAGGTGACCCCTAAGGCAGATGCTCCTACTGTAGCAGTATCGGAGGTGACTGCTAGAGCAGATCGCATGGCGACAGTTCTTCTTGATGGGATGGAAAGTGTGCCTCCAGACAAGTTTTACATACTTGGTAGTAGGACCGTGGAGACGATCATAAACGACGGACCGGTTTAGATGCTGTGATCGATAACGGCAGTGAGGCTGTCATTATAGACGAGGATCTAGCAGAGCAAGTTGGACTGAGACTCGATAGGTCATACTTATTCGAGATAGAGACGGTTGATGGGAGAAAGCAACAAATCACAGGAGTTTGTCACAAGACAGCCGTAGAAGTCCAAGGGGTACGAGTGACTCTGTCAGTCTTTGCAGTCAAGAACTGCAACTCTGACCTACTCTTGGGATGGACGTGGTTGAGCCATGTGCATGCGGTAACGATAGAGCGACCGGACGTGAGCCAGACACTGTCCATTAAGAAGCTAGATGGGACCCGGGTTATGATAGAGACGGTGGAGCCTCGAGACCCGAGGAACAGAGCAGCTCTCGCAGTAGGAGCGGGACCCAGTGAACGGATTAAGTCATTACCTATCTCCGGCCGCGCGGTGCGATTTTGCGAAAAGAAGTATGAACCTCTGCTCACGGAAGAAGAAGGCCGGATGTAGAAGTCGAAGATTTAGGGAGTCGACTGATAATGGACGGCAACTCGTATCCGAAGGAGGCAGATGAGGAATTTGAAAGCGTGTTATCTGTGTTTTTTTTTAAGGGCACGGTCCCCTATAGGGGGTTACCCAAGCGACACAAGTGAGTAGCTCAGAAAGTTAAGCCAGCGGTGGTGGGCCGCGAGCAGTCTACACTGGAAGGGATATCGGAGGAAGAGATCGCAAAGGAAATTAAGGAAAGAAAGAAGAAGGAGCCGCAACGCCTAACGGAAGAGAGGATAGCAGGGATGGACATCGGAGATGGGAACCTGACCCCACAGGAGCGGGAACGTGTGATAGAAATCCTAAAGACGTGCGATAAGGCTATAGCTTTCAGCGACGCGGAGCGCGGTAGGGTTGACCCTCGCTACGCTAAGCCAGCAAGGATTTACACGATTTCACATGTTCCATGGAATGACGCAGAATGGAAATACGCCCAGAAGGAGAAGGAAGAGGTTATTGCTTTCCTAAAAGAAAAGATGGCTTCTCATGTTGCAGAGCCATCTGACAGCGCTTATGCTAATCGATGGTTCTTCCTACGAAAGCCGAATGGCAAGATCCGGTGGATCCAGGACCTTCAGAAGGTCAACGTGGTGACGATTCGAGACGTAGCCTCAGTACCTCACGCCGACTTACTGGCTAAAGACGCCGCGGGCAGGTCGATTTATTCGGTCTGTGATCTGTTCTCAGGCTATGATGAGGTACCGCTTGATCCTAGGGACAAGCACCTCACAGCTATGCACACGCCATTGGGACTGATACAGATGATGGTCGTCCCTATGGGTTGGACTAATAGGGTAACCATTTTTCAGAGAGCCATGGTAGCCGTCCTCAAGGACTTTATTCCGGACAAGGTTGAAGTTTTTCCGGATGACTTTCCTATAAAAGGACCAGTAAGAAAAGATGAGACAGAGTTCGTGGCAGGAGTTAGAAGATTCATCGAACAGCACCTAACCGATATCTGTGCGATACTTGAGCAGCTGGACGACGCAAATTTGACGGTCAGCGGAACGAAGAGTCGGTGGGCCGTCTCGACTATTAAGATCTTAGGCTTTATCTGCGACTCAAGGGGACGCCGAGCGGATCCTACGAAGCTAGACAAACTCCGAAACTGGTCGTCGCCGTTACATAGTGCTACCGAGGTCCGACAGTTTCTGGGGGTGGTCGGCTACTGACGGATTTTCATGCGGGGGTATGCAGAGAAGGATGAGCCTTTGAGGCTACTCCTTCGGAAGACTGAGAAATTCTACAGGGATTCTTCCCAGAAACTCGCTATGCAAGAGCTTAAAGATGAATTTAAGAAGGGAGGGCGCGTGCTGGGCGTGCCATTCTTTGATGATGAGGCCGAGAGACCCTTCATAGTATCCACGGATGCTGGAACTTGTTCAGTTGGTGGGATGCTGTCTCAGAAGGACGCTGAAGGGAAGGAAAGACCGTTAAGATTTGAGAGTAGGACACTTAATACGGCTGAGCGTAATTACAGTCAATTCAAGAAGGAAGTGTTAGCTGTTCTGCGGTGTCTAGACACGTTCAGACACTATATCTACGGACGGCGGTTCATCTTGATAGTAGATCCCACAGCAATTGTCTCTGTCCTCCAGAAAGACTTTAGTCTGACGGACCCGACCATCGCACGATGGTTAATACGGATTTGACTATATGATTACACAGTTAAGAGGATAGCGGGTACTAGAAATGCCGTGGCGGATGGGCTTTCTCGGATCCCTCTTGAGGCCGAGCGCCCGATAGTAGTTGGAGCCCTCACAATGGTGGAACGGAGACGCGCCGATCGATTTCAGGTTAACCTTTACGAGGGCAAATACCGAACGATCGGGCTACAGTTGTCAGGAGAGGAGAGTCAAGATTCAGATATCCGGAGACAAGCAGCCCAGTACTGCCTTAGAGCGGGCCATCTATTCCGAAGACCAGTCGGGTTAGGGATGCCCTTACGAGTAGTCTGTGATCCTGAAAAGAGACAGACAATAGTTGCGGAGCTTCACGACGGGGTAGTCGGAGGTCATAGAGGAGTCAAAGGAACCTACGAAAAGGTACGCAGACTGTACTGGTGGGAGGSRCAGTATAAGGACGTCGAGAGATACTGTATAACCTGCGAGGAGTGCCAGAAGAGAGCTCTTGTGAAATACAAAGAGCCACTTCATCCATCCTATCCAACCAGGCCAGGAGATAAGGTACACATCGATCTGGTGAAGATGCCGAAAGTAGTAGGCAATATGAACTATGTTGTGAACATACGAGACGACTTCACGGGGTTCGTGGACGGTAGACCTATCAGGAGTAAGTCGGCAAGGGAAGTAAAGAACTTCGTTCTACAGTACTTGTCTAGGTATGGATGTGTCAGCAAAATAATGATGGATAGAGGGGCGGAATTCCTAGCCGGCGAGGTCCAGAGCGTGTTTAGGAGAGCCGGTGCGAAAGTTTCGATAGCCACCGCCTATCACCCACAGTCGAACTCCCCAGTAGAGAGGGGACACCAGACTCTGATAGCGTCACTATCCAAGTGGTGCAAAGGTAAGGACATTGATTGGCCATGATATTTTCGATACGCAATATGGGCGGACAACGTCACGGTCCGGGCTAGCACTGGATACCCACCATACACCTTGTGGTTCGGACGACATTGTCCTTTTCCCATAGAGTTTCACGTCGACAGTTGGACCACCGTCGACTGGGCGGAAAAGATGTCCAGAGAGGAACTCATAGCTGCCCGAACAAGACAGATAACCTACGGTTTGGAAGACAACCTTATGACAGCAGCAGATCGTCTGGCAGTGGAGAGGGGCAAAGGAAAAGAGAGATGGGATAAGGGCGTGTGGATCAAGAAAGAGAGGGTGAGCGTAGGAGATATGGTCCTTCTCTACGACGCAGCACTGGAAAGGACCTGGACCGGAAAACTCGCCAACAGATGGATGAGACCTTACAGAGTGGTCGAGGCGCTCGATAGGGGTGCCTATATGATAGCAGAATTAGACGGATCCAAGTGGAAGGACCCAGTGGCGGGTGCTAGGTTAAAGCTGTTTAGACCCAGGTCAGCACCCACCTTATCGCCTGCAGGCTCGAAAGGGAAAGGGAAGGCCAAAATGGAGGATGGAGCCCCCTCGAGATGATTCGAGGCAGGGGAAAGTTCCAAGAAGAAAAAAAGAGTGGAGAGAAGAAAGCTCAAAGGGTTGGCATTAGGAAGAGAGAAGAAATGGTTATTCGTGCTCAAGAGGGCCAGACGGAGAGTTCGCAGTAGACAAACTGGCGGGTCCGCACCTTTCTCGGGCCAACGTCAGAAGAAAAAGAGGATCCTACCAAGGCCAAAATCCAGAAGGAAGAGGAAAACCAAGAGACATCTTCTTAGTCCCAGATCTCATAACAAACTGAAACATAAGACAATTAAACGCCGACGTGGGCATCCTTTATGGGCAATCACCCTGAAGCTCGTCCGCTTCGTTTGACGTAAGCGGATAGGGCTCGACGGGGGCGCCGAGAAGTGGTCTGGGCTAACTGTCAAGCGGCCACAAGCAGTGCGCCGCCTGAAATCTGCGGCTTTGGAACTTAGGCTCGAGAACAAGCCCGTGTTTTGACGGTACTCTGGTTTGAACAGGCAGCAAAAATTAGGGGAACTTAGGGCACCCCTGATTTTGGGCGCACTGAACCTTACGAGTAACCCTCAGAGATGGCGAAATGGGTAGCCGCTCCCGGCGCAACTAGGGGCCGTCAT